GGTTCTCGCCAGGCTGATTTCCTGCCCATTTTAATACAAATCCCCCGGGTGGGGCCTAAGTTTTTTTTTTTTTTTTGAGACAAGGTCTTCTGTAGCCCACGCTGGCCTTGACCTCTCTACATAGCCAAGGATGGCCTTGAACTCCTGATTATCCTGCCTCTGCCCCGCCCCCAAGTCTGGGATAATGGGAGGGCGCCACCATACCTGACTTAGGTCTCACAATTTTTCTAAAGCTCCCCAAGTGATTTCTACATGTGGTCAAGCTTTGAAATCGCTGACCTTGGAGACTTCAGCATCTCTGTACACCCTTACTAAGGGTAGCTGAATTCAGGTCCCCTTTCAGAGAGCCAGTCTTCCCATCCAGGACCCGCCTCACAATTTACTGTTTGCAATCCTGGCCACACCCCTTTGATCAGACCCCGCCCCCTCCCCAGCTCCGAAAAAAAGACTTTCCTGTTTACTAAGGTTTAGCTGCAGTGCATGCGTCCAAGTGTCAGATCTAACTCGTTAGTCCAAACAAGGATCCTGGCCCATCTCGGTCCAATCTAGCCCCTAGCGCCACCTAGCGCCACCCACCCGTTTAGACTGTGCTCCTAATGTGGCCCCTCCCCAGGCCCCGCCCCCTGCCCCTCTCGCGCCAGGCTCGCGGGCCCCAGGCCCAGCTCTCACCAGTGTAGTGACTGAGTTCTTTGCGTTGCTTCCGGCGCCGATAGAGGGCGGCGCAGAGCCCGAGCAGCAGAGCCCCGCAGGCCGCGCCGCTGCCTGCCAGGAAAGCCGGCTTCCGCAGCACCCTAGCTAGCCGCTCCGCCAGCCCCGCACGCACCTCCGGCCCCGACTCTGCTGCAGGCCGGGACGCTGTGGAGGTCAGAGGGATGAGGGGAGGAGGAACCCGAAACCCGGGGCCTCGGAAAGCGCCATTCTGGACCCCCAAGCTCAGGTGTCCTGGTGTTGCCCCAGGTTTCCTAGCCCTGCTCTCCCACGCCCACCTCCAGACTCACGCAGCTGCACCGGAACCGGAGCACTGGCTACGCCCACGCCAGCGCTGGTGGCTGCGGCCACCTGAGTTCGATAGAGCAGGCCCGGCAGCAGTCCCGGGAATGTCGCCGAGCGTGCCCAGCCTGCTGCAGATCGGTTGAGGTGGAAGCGGCTTTCGTTGCCCAGGCACCAGATCTAGGAGGGCAGGACCTCGGTGTAGTCGAGAATGGGATTTTGGTCCCACCGAGAAACTTAAGGGTCCACTGAATAAGTAGGTGGAGCTCAGCCAGGCATAATCAGTCTAGAGACAACACTCCAACCTCTCTCCCCAACCCCAGATCAGTCCTAGGTGCCCCCACCTTAATCCTAATCACTAGGTGACCCCTAACTCTCCGCCTCCAGCCTTCTCACCCCCTGTCAAACATACCTGGTATTCAGTGATGACCCCATTTTGCAGGGAAGGAAGTGGAGGCTCCCAGGATACAGTGATACTGCTGTTGCCATCGCCCCCCAAGGCCACAGCCACTCCCTGAGGGGGGCCACTGGGGGCTAGCCCAGGGTGGAGCATGGTGAGAAGGACACAGGTAGTCATTGCAAATTGCCCCGAGCTTCACTCTCCCTGTTCTTACATTAGGGAACAGAGAAGCATCCTCCTTTCCCACCCTTGCTCTCCAAATTTCCATCCTCTCCAGTCTATACATGGGCTCTGTGGCCTTCCTTACCCTCCTCAGGAATGCTCCTGGTCACAAAAGGGCTTTCAGTCCCCAGCCCCTCCTGGCCTTGGGCTTGCACTTTGATCTGGATTTGGGTCCCTGGGGGGAGTCCTCTTAGCACAGTACTTTGTTTGTGTGGAGTCTGCAGGTCCAGCACTGTCCAGCTTCCCTGGTCAAGGCCTGCTATCCTCCAAGACACACGGAAGCCCTGCACCAGTTGGACTGGGCCATGCACCTGCAGGAGACAAGACAAGGTGTACAGGGGCAGGGGAGGCTGGAATCACACAGGATCTCCAGGCTCAGCCACTCCTCCACTCATGCCACCTTCCCCAGCCACTCACCTCCCACTTTTCCAGACTCCTCAGATGCTCTTCTGTCCTCCATCATCATCCCCTCCCTTAACTTTACCCCTACACCACACTCACTGTCCAGGACACCTGCAGGGTTCGGGGTCCAAGGACTATGGGCTCCTGCATTCGCACAACCACTTCAGCCAGTCCCTGCTGGCCTCTCCATGGGTCCTCCGCTGGCCTAGATAGGCTGCCATCTGCTGACCAAAGCAGTCACTCAGCAGTGGCCACCAAAGGCAAGAAGACTAGACTGAAGCTCTGTTTGTGTCCTACCTCTACCTGCCTCACAGACTGTACCATTCAATGCAGCACAGCTCATCCGAGTCAGGGGAATCATTTGCCGAGGTGATCTGGGGAAGCAGCTAATGTGAGTGTTCTTTCTAACTCCCATATGCATTCTTTAAAGGTCTCAACTCCCTGTCCCTAACATGTACTAGATCCTCCAAGTCCCTGCTAGTCTTAACAGTCTGTATTACATATGACTAAGAGGCTCAGCAGTGAGGGAACTAGTGAAATGAAAGAATATCACACTCTCTGTCTTCTCTTCTTCTCTTGGGCCCTCTATGAGAGAGAATTTTCCTGTTTTAGGCTGGGTCAGCAGTACAGTTCTCACAAATCAAAAGAGAATCTCATGAGCTTCCAGTGGTTCATGATTTAGGGAAAGGGTATGTTGTCATGTGTCATACCCATAAGCTCAGGGCCTCTGACCTTACCCTGAGTGCGGACAGGCTCAGAGACAGGGCTGGGTTCACTGAGTCCCCAGGCTCCAACAGCTCGCACAAGGAACAGGTAGATGGTATTGGGCTGCAGACCACTGACAGTGTGTGTTTCCAGCTGTACACCATCAGCCACTGTCCGCCATGTGTTGCCTGCTGCTTGGCTACAACAGGAATGAGGTGACAGGACTAAGCCAGGAATCCCTAACTTTTCTACCTCTTTTCCATTCTCTATGAAACCCTAATACTTCCTTATCTTGGGAGAGGGGAACTAGAGCATCACTCTCCAAAACAGTAAAAACATGAAGGACATAGGATCCTCTCTCTTTTTTTTTTTTTTTCCTGTTCTTTTGAGACAAAGTCTCCTTGAAGCCCCAGCTGGCCTGGAAAATACTATGTAGACTGGCTGGCCTTGATCTCACTGAGAGCCATCTGCCTCTACCTCCTGAGTGCTGGGATTAGAGGCATGGGCCATTGTACCTGGTTAGATCCCCTTTTTAACTGTCCAGGTTTGTACTCAAAATTGTCTCCATGGGTGGGGAGATGGCTCAGGCAGCAAAGAATAATGACCTGAGTTCAGATCCCAAGCACCCGACATAAAACCCAGGTGTGGTGCCATGCATCTTTAACCCTAGCACTTGGGATTACACATCCCCAGAGTTCACTGATTAGCCAGTCTAGCCATTTGGTGAGCCAGAGAGAGAGAGATCCTGCCTCAAAGACCTTGGGGAAAGTCACTTAATGTTGAGCTGTAGCTTTCATATACACATGCACATATGTGCATAAATACTGGTAAACATACATGCACACATACATGCACACACCAAAAAAAATCTGTCTCAATACCTGAAAGCTTCTATTATATAAGAGGTGGCTGTGGCCCTAGCCTGTGGATTGGGCTTCCAGGTCAAGGTGATGCTGTTCTTGGTTATTTCAGTGACTACTGGCTGAGAGGGAGGTCCTGGAGGGGTACTGGGTTCTGAGGAGGGACCTGGTGATGGTCCCCAATCTTCTGCAGTGATAGATAATCATTAAGTAGACGGAGGGGGAAGGGAATTTGTAATCTCCTTCCTCCCTAGAGAAAGGGAGCTGTAGAGCTATAATAATGATGATGGTTATAGGGCAACATAGTATACTAACCCAGAGTCACATCAGCCACCCCAGTGCACCATTCTGTCCTCCTCATCCCCACCACCATGGACATGGACTTCAGAAGATAAAATTATCCCTGGGGCTTGGGAGATAATTGACTATCTTTGAAGCAGATTTGGACAAACCTGCTAGCAAACAAAGGAATGAAGGATAAACTTACCCCGCTTCCTAAGCCAGCCACTCCATGTGGCCTCCCCTATGGAACTCTTGGCCACACAGCTGTAGAAACCCATGTCCATCTCCTGTAGGAGAGGGCAGAGTACTGGCACACTGGGAGTGCAGCAAGGTAGAGTGAGGGGTTGGAGAGGCAGGTAAGAGAAGGGTAAGGAAGATGCTGGACACTTTAGGAAGACTGAGCAAGCAGAGGGGTAGAAATGGGTTAGATGTCTAATTGATGCTTCCTAGAGTTGGAATGTGGACCAGGTAGTCATTCTCAATTACAAGAGTTCCAGGGGGGTGGCACTCACCTTCACACTGGTGATGTACAGAGTGCCATTGTCCATAAGGTTGAACTGGAGGTCATCCCCCAGCAGCCACTTCTCATCCTTCTTCCATTGGACACTGGGCTGAGGGTTCCCAGTCACTCTGCATGGCAGCCACACAGAAGAGCCAAGTGCCAGTGTCTGATTGACTGGTCCCTGGAGGATGATGGGAGGCAGCCCATCCAAGGAGGCTGAGAGAGGAAGAACTTGGGCATCTCAGGGGAAGAGTCTAGGGTCAGGAAACCAGTCCCTTGTCCTTCTTCCTTGTTTGCTCCATCATTCCTCCCTCCCTGTGATCCATGGGGGCTTTGATAATCATCTGCAGTCTCTGCCTGGGACCATTCTGCTGCTGGTTTCTGAGGACCTCCCTTAGGAACATGCCCCTCCCCTTTCAGACACATTGAACAGCTTTTAAGGGAAATAGATCTCTTTAAACCATGTCTTTGAAGACCATGGGCCCAGCCCTCTCTCCATGGGCAAATACCTCCTTTTATCTCCAACAGGGCTTTGGTCAGGATGCTGCCTGCCACACTGACAGCCTGGCATACATAGTAGCCAGCATCCCCACTCTGTACTTTGGTGATGTTGAGTTGGCCTCTTGGAGAAACTGAAAGGTGCCCCGTGGGCTGAAGTGACTGACTTGGGAAAAGCAGAACCTGGGACAGAGCAAGGAAGCAAGCTAAGGAATAAGCAGTGTCTAGAGAGCTCTGCATATGCTGAGACAATCCCTAAAGTTCTAACTTACACTCTGCCCCCAGTCATTGACATGACCCTGGCCAAACTAGTTAGGCCAACTCATAAAAAACAATGCACGTTTATTAGATTTGGGATCTACATCCAAGCTCTGTGACTAACTAGTTGAGAAACTCAGCAATAGAATCCTGAGCTAAGGCAGGAGGATCCCAAATTTGAGGCCAGCCATGGCTCAAAAAAATGAACCAACCAATAACCACCAAAATAAAACCTCTGAGTTATTACACCTTTATGAACCCCAATTTTCCAAATCTTTACTCTTAAAGGTTAGCAGTCAACTCAGGAGGATTAACTGAAGGAATCATATGAAAGTTTTCTACAACACTGGTAAGTGTTAAATATATTCTGGTTTTAACATTTTACTTTAGAAAGACATATGGAAGGTAGGGTTTGAGTCTCAGGACAAGCAGACAAGCCTGAGCCTCTAACACTGACACTTCCTCCTACCCCCTCCTATCACCACCATTTTCCCACTCTTCTTCAGAGAAAGTTACTCAGGTTATAACCAGTTCTGGTGGAGAGAGCTAGGATTTGTTCACTAGGTAGACAGGCGATGGCTGAGAGCTCCCCCTAGTGGAGGGATCTATAAATAGTCAGAGCAAGTAATCTACCCTAAGCAGCTATAATTTATTCAATACTTGGTTTCCACAGCAGTATTCATGTCCAAAAGTCAAGGTTCAGAGGGTCTAGGGGAGGAGAAAACTAGTTAGATTTCTATACTCTGAAGACATTTTTGGCCAACACATAAAATTGTCTTAAGAATTACCACCCTGGACTGTTCTGTACTGCCTAAACATATTGCTGCAACATTGATTCTCTTTCAAAGTGTCCAAATGTTCTGGGTCATAGGTACCTATATTCATCATCTTATTTAATCCTCCCAAATAATCTGCAAGAGTGAAGGTGGAGTACCAAAACAGGAGACCCAGAGAAAAGTTTGCGGAAAGTGGAGGCAAAGATCCAGAAGAAAACTGGTGGGTGGGGCCTTGAGGAGGACCACCTACTTGACTCCCCTCCTTCTGCCAGAAGATGGCAGGTGGAGGGTTTCCTTTGGTCTCACACTGGAAAGACACGTTTTCTCCAGGAGCTACTGTCTGGTCCTGGGGCCGAATCACAAACTGGGGTGGAACTGGGAAGGAGAGAGAGATGAAGGAGCAGGGACTTAGTGGGAGTTTGTCCAAGCTTGGCTTAATAAGTGCAGACATCCATCTCTCGCTCAAGCCTCTTTGGCTTTCCCTTCTCTCTCCTTCCAGAAGTCTTAACTGACCTACCCACACCTCCTACTCTGTCTTTTCCCCCCAGTTCTTCTCTGATACCTTCCCTCACATCACCCCTGCTGCAGGCTGCCCCAAGTAAAACCCTCACCATGAACACTGAGGGATCCAGATGCCTCCACGCGACCCACGCTGTTCTCTGCCACGCAGGTGTAAGTCCCCTCATCTTCAGAACTCACGTGCCCGATCCAAAGACTGTGGTCACTCCGAATCTCATACCTGCTCCACTCCCCACCCCAGGCTGGGTTGGCCACAGCTACAAACTCTTTCTCTCTCCCCCAGGTCAAACACCAGGGTCAAGATAGGGAAGGCAGGACTCAACAGGTACAGAAGCTGGTACCCACAATGTGAGATAGGCTAGGACAGGTTCTGGGAGACAGATTTCTCTGTGTGCTCAGGTGACAGATTGTCTGCTGCCCAGCTTTCTAGGGCAGGGTAGGCTCTTGAGTTCCTTGGGTCCCCCTACAGACAGAGGGAGGGGCTTCTCACCTGCCAGTGGGCAGTTCCCCGTCCTCCTTGCGCCAGTGTAGATGAGGCTGGGGATCCCCCTGCACCTCACATAGGAAATTCACGGGGGCATCAGCAAGGACAACCTGGTTTACTGGTCTACGTAGAAATGAGGGACGCTCTACAGAGTGGAACCATCATCAAACCATCAGGGGGTCTGCACAGCTACTTACTTCCTGGGCTACCCATTCCTATAACTCCAAAGTGTCCAGTGCCTACCCAGTACCACAAGTTCAGCTGCCCCACTCTCTCGTTCTCCTGCCATGTTGGAGGCCACACACATATACATCCCGGCATCACTCTTGAGTGTATGTGACATCATCAGCTTCCCTCCACGTATCTGCAGAATAATAAGGAGTAATGTTGGTCCTTTGTAGTCATCAGTGTGTGTGTGTGTGTGTGTGTGTGTGTGTGTGTGTGTTTGCGCATGCACATGTGTGTAAAGTTGATTTGGTTCTCATAGCAAGCTGATGAAGACCAGTGAGGTTGATTCCTACGTCAGATATGGAGTCCCTGAGGCATCATGGGGCATCAAGGGGCATCACCTTTATTACCCCAGTTCCACTCTATCCTCCTTTTTCTTTGCTTGATGGCTGAATCTCAGCTTCTGATCACCTGATACGCTAACCTCAACTCTTGCACCTTATAACACCAAGACATTATTCCCAGGTGTCAGATTCAGGATTTCCTCCTTTGAGATATCTTAGACCCATAGCCTACACACGGACATTTTCTCTCTCTCTCTCTCTCTCTCTCTCTCTCTCTCTCTCTCTCTCTCTCTCCTTTCTCTCTCTCTCCTCTCTCTCACCGTGATCCTTCCTTCCTCTTGTTTAAGCTTTGCACTGCCCTTCTTCCAGGTCACCAAAGGCTCTGGGTGGCCTTTAGGGGGCACACACTCCATTACTGCTGGCTCCCCCATCGCCACCACCAGGTTTCCAGGTGACTGGCGGAAATCATCGCGAAGGACTGCAAAGAGAAAAGGGGCGTTTACGGAGAAAAGTCAGGAGAATGCACGGCATGGCGTGACATAACTGGATGAGAACAGGAGGCAAATGTCTTCAGGGAAGATGGACCTCAGCAGACCGGTGTTCAGACCACGTTCAGAACCAGCCCACTGAAGTCAAACCTACTTCCTCTTCAATGGCCAAGGTATGGACATTAAAGGCAAAAAAGAAAAAAAAAAAAAAAAAATCGGAGCGGGCTGAGACCCCCGAGGCTGACTCTGTGGGCCGTACTGACTTCTCACCCCTAACACACTCTAGAAGTGACCGCCTTACAGCCGGGCTCTCACCGGCCACTTCCAGAGAGGCGTTTCTGCTAGCTGCTGCTCCTAGGTAGTTGCGCGCCACACACGTGTAGACGCCCTCATCCGGCCTGGAGCGGCGCCCGTGCACGATGCGCGGGAAGAAGAGGGCGCCGCTGGGCAGCAGCAGGCGGTGTGCACGGGGATCCTCCCGCGCAGTGGCCACTCGCGCTCCATTCTTGTACCACTCGATGTTAGGGCGGGGACGGCCTTCAGCGCGACAGGGCAGCGTGGCCGGCTCGCCTCGGGAAACCAGCAGATCCGGTGGCTGCTCCACAATGCGCGGCATGGCGTCCTCTGGCTCAATTCTTGACCCTGGAGGAACGGGTAGCAGAGTTCAGATAAGGAAGCTGGGAGAGAGATCAAGGCTCCAGAGGAAGAAAAACCCTCTGGTTGGCTCATCTCCCATGCTTCCACTCCTAGATCTGCAGTCCCCACCTGCCGGTCCTCCCTCTCTGTAGGCTCTTGTATCTCTTTTCAGGTTCTTAGACTAGAACAGAAATGCCTGCAGAAAGGTCCTCAATAGAGGAATCAGGGCACGAACTCCTAGGACATTTTCTGGGTCTCCTTAAGATCTCTACCTCCCCACAAATTTATGAGGGGAATGACTGAGTTTGGTGGGGAACCTGGGCTTCTAGCCTTCTGCATTTCACCCACTCACACTGGTTTGCTTATAATCTTTGCTCAGTGAACAACCAGGCCGGCGGTACTTTACCAGACACTTGATTGTTCACCTCTGCCTTAATCCCTGGCCCCAGAGGTAAAATGAACAATGGGGTCCTTTATTTTAAGGGAAATGTGACTGTACTGGAAATGTGAATGATGCTCCCTTTCCTGAGAGATGCAGTTTTCAACAAATTGTTTTACTAGTTGGTGTAGCTAAGAAAGGCAGAGAAGAACAGTAGAAAACAAATTCCTCTTCCATCTTGTTCATTTGAATCAGTCGATCTGCAGACTCTGCCTCTGCCTCTCAGTTGGCCTACAGACACCCAGAAACCTGTTTTCTGCCTCATGGATTGGGATCCAGGTGTCATCTGCACCCACAATACCTGTCCCCCCATCCCATCCGCACTGGTTAAATACTCAGGTCTCCGTCCCAACCTAGGCAAAGAATATGTGACCCATGTCTGTCAGTAGGCGCCGCTGCAGCCTCGTGCAGTCTGGTGTCCTTAAATAACCAGGGACTACTCGTGCATCTGTTCTGTGCCTCCCCCCACCCCCATCCCTCCTACCCTGTTCTAAAATCCTCTGGGACCTGTAGCTTCTAAGTCCTGTGGGCGGCTAGATTTGGTTTTCTACCCTTCCTTTTAGAAGTTCTGGTGTAGACAAAGCTGGTCAGGTGGCAGGTTGTTGCTTGTGGCCCTGCCCTAGTTGAGTTCATTTAACTGTTTGGGTTAAGATAATTTTTTTTCCTACTTGGGGAAGGAAATAATTTACTGAATCTTCCCCCTTCCAGATGAAATCTCTACTGCTCACGCATCTCTTCACCGTCACATCCCAGTCCTGATTTGAAATCACTCCATGGTGAGCCACCTATGAGTACCTAGAGTCCAGGTTTTGACTTTGAAAAATCTATAGCTGAAACCTCACACTTTCACACTTCCTAACTGTAATAACTTGGGAAAATCATTTAAGTTCAGCCTAGTGGTGGCCCATTGCCTGTAATCCCAGCACTTGGAGGTGGAGGCAGAAAGATCAGAAGTTCAGAGGTTGTCTGGGTTACACAGCTAGTCTCTGTCTCAAAAACCAAAATGCGTAAGCTTCTCTGAGTTTAGTTTATCTGAAATATGGGAATCCAAAAACCATAGTGGATGTAAAGCTCATAACTATGGTGAGTCTACCACTATCGAACTGTTTCTCCACTCTAGCACACTTACAGTCTCTACCTGCACGAGAGTCAAGCCAGTTCCAGTATTTCCCCCGACTTCACATATCTCTTCTCGGGTTAATGGAAGCAAATTTAGGTTTGTTATTGCCAAGATATTGCTCTATGCTGCTTTTGTGATCATTGGAATAGCCTTCACTCTCCATATACTTCCTTTGTGGCAGTATATGGTGATCAACAAACATCTTCTCTACATACCTCACTGACTTTTCAAGCTTCTTACATGAAAAGACATCTGTTGAAAACACCTTAAAAGTGTGCTAAGCAAGGGAAGTGTGACTCTGGGACACCAGTGAAAATGACTCTGTGCTTAACCTCCTGGGAATCCTCAAGGATCAGGAGATTGAAGGCTCCCAACTCATTTCCCATCTTCTTCAAACTCCATACATACATACCACACTCTACTGAGTCCACCCTTTCCCCTTAATTCCTCTAGACACAGCTGCAGGCTCCCTGTCCCTGGAATTTCTTCTGTGCCATTCCTGGTCTCTGGAGATGTTTCCACAGCAGCCTAATGAATAGCTAATGGCCATGCAAATAGGGCTCTGGGGCTCCTCCCCAGCACCTGAGTACTCCCCTCAGAGAGAGGAGAGAGCGCGAGAGAATCTCCTTTCTAGCCATCTTTGGGTCCCTAGTAGAGACGGAGGGAGTGTAGGCGAGGGAGAGCACCTGACTAGAACCTACCCCCACCCCCACCCTCGCCAAGGCACCGCTGAGTGATGGAGTTCCGGATGCTGTGGGCAGGGGGCGCAATCGGGCCTCTCGCTGGGTCTGCTGCCGCTAACTCCTACTGCCTCCCTGCTGCGCTAAGGGAGAAAGCGCTGTCTTAGTCATTTATTAATCACTGTAATTAGAGGTAAAGATCTCGCCGCTGGCACTGCAGGCTCGCCGCTGCTCTGCCAGGGTGGAGCAGTTGTGAGTCTCACTGCTGATGCAAACTTAGCTCTAAGTTTCCTCGAAATGATCGCTGTCTCTGTCTTCTTCGCAGCAAACACCTCCAACATTTGGGCTTTTTCACCCTTGTTCTGAGTGAGTCCTTGGAAAACTTTGGGTCCTGAAGGGACACCTGCTACCTGCGTGAATCACCTAGTGGCGCGCTTAGCCCAGGCCCGCAAACGACCCCTCTTTACCCTCCTTTCTTGGCTTGGGACTTGCCCATCACCAGCCAAGGTTCTCTGCACCTGGGGCGGGCGTGGTGGGCAGCAGGAGAGGTGGGCAGAGTAGGACTCAGCAGCTGTCTTCTCGCCGGCCTCTCGCAGATACCCCTTCCACCTCCCCGCCTGCCGTTCGGGTGGGTGTTCCTCTGAGACTCCGTTCCCAGAAGGACCATGGTAGGAACCACTGGGTCCCGCTCTTCAGTACAAGAGCGCTTTGGCTTTCTCCTCCCCGCAGCCCTCTCACCCCCCCCCATCCCCGTAAGCGACGTCCCCACCTGGCAGTCTCACCATTGAGAGAGGGGTCTCCAGGAGGCAGCAGGCTAGGATTGAGCGCTGCCAGCGAGGAGTTGAAGCTGAAGAGCAGCTCGCTGGAGTTGGAGATGTCCCCCGCCAGTGAGTCAGCGAACAAGTTCATCTGCAGTAGTGTTTTGAGCAGGTAGCGCAGCATGGCGCGACCCGGCTGGGACCGGGGTGGGGGGCTCGGAGCCCAGCCCCTGGGTCTGGGACCCGTGGGCTGAGAAGCCCCTCCACAGCCTCTGCGCTCTGCCGCAGCCACGGTGCCGGTGCCTCTGTCCAGCCGGCTTGCCTGGGTACCTGCCTCGCTTCCGCGTGCTGTCCTCCTTCGATGGTTCTTCTCTCCACCCCCCAGTGCCATAGTCCCTTGGGAACTGGGCGGGCGGAAAGCAGGTGCCATTCGGATCACGCCGTAATTAAGGGCTTAATCCGCCTCCCTCCAGACCCCCACCTCCACCAGGACGGCCACTAGCAGGGCAGGAAACTAGAGTCGCTGCCGCGCACCAGTTCCAGTCCCCGCCCCGCACTCCTGGCCCAGAGTGCCGCTCTGAACGTGGCGGGAGAGTTTCCCTCTTCTCAAAGCACCCAGATGAGGAATGAAGGAATGAGACTCTGTCAGACTCTCCCCTTCTCTCTAGGACAGGAATTCTCTCCTTTCCTGGACCTCAGGGAAACTGAGGCATTGGAGAACAAACGCTGTTTAGCTCTCAGCCGCCCAGCTTCCATTTCCTTTTTGGGGCTTGGAGAAGCGAGCGCAGGAGTTGGGGTACTGGGAGCGGGAGTTTGGGAATGAGAAGAGAATTCCACCGCAGGAACAACCAAACACACACACACACACACACACACACACACACACACACACTGCCTGGTTTTCAGACAGGAATCCCGGGGTTTGGGGTGACTCATCTTGACCCTAGGGTTCTGTTCCAGATGCGTAATCCGGAGTTCCTGTGGTGTACTCAGGACTGGGTAATGCTGGAGGAGACCTGGGAAAAGCAAGGCAGCTCGCACTTGTTTATACACTGCTTCACTCTGCTCTAACATGTTTTAGAAATTGTTTTACAATTTTGAGGTGATCAAAGGGGAACCAAGGAGTCAGACGAGGAGCAATACTGTCCCTTTAAAGGCAAGTGCAAGAAACAGGGTGAATGCCAAATTTTCGCAAAATTACTTGAACCTGATAATGGCTGGCCATCCTTGAGGGGGGCAATAGAAACAACTACTTCTGACTTTTCTAGGGTTCTTTCTACCTGGCCATGTCCCAGTCTTACAGCTATTCGTGCGTGCTCACGCTCACACTTTTCCTAGACTGCAGAAGTTGGGTGTGGAGAGAGACTCCTGGGTTCCCATCTTGGGATAGGGCTCTGCTGATGTTTGAGTGCAGTTTTGTACCAGTTGTTGTTTGAGTGACAACAGTTGTGGAGCAGCTGTTTCTCTCCTGAGAGGGGAAGGCAGGAGGGGGGGGGCGGCACAGATAAAGAAGTCAGACTGGTGTGAGTTACCCAATCGAAGGTCTCAGAGTGAAAGAGAAAGTGGTGGACTGCAGAGCTGAGGGGAGATTCAGGGAGCTGTCTGTCCCTAGGCTTACAAGCCACTTGCCTCCCAGGGGAGTCCTGACTAGACTAAGGAGCGGTTAGTGTCTCTCTGCTTGCCTCCACCTAGGATCATACAGCAAGGCGGGAAGCCCTAAACTGGAGTGGATGCGGGTTGCAGCGCTGGATCCTCACAGGAGCCAGAGCTATGGGAGCTGTTCTTTCAGTGCTTAATCTGTAGGTGAGGAACTGGGGCCCTAGTGCACACACAGAAGACAAAATCTGAACAGGCCTGGAGGATGAGGCAGGTTCCAAAGGACTGGGTTACTAAAGAGATAGGATTTTACATCTGTCTTTGCCGGAGGGCCTTCCTGCCAGGCTAAACACATTCAGCAGGAGGTACAAGGAGTATTACTAGAAATGTATTCCCAAATGTAGCCTATTTGCCAATTACAGGATGCCACCATTCTAGACCTCAGTTTCCTCATCTGTTAAGGAGAAATTGGACTACTTTATCTGCTCTGGCCCTCAGGTTCTCCATTCCAGGGGCTTTACACTGGGACTCCTGACAGGTTGTCCATGTTCCATCACATCCTAAGGCTAAGCCAGATAGAATTCCAATGCCCTGGCACCAGGCCCTGCTCTGGAGACTGGGAAGGCTGAGAACCCTCCCACTATGCAGATCCTGCCCCATCCTAATCCCCCGATTTGCCCCTGGTCGGCCTCTAGGCAAACACACGGCCTGCCGGTGTCTAGGGGCTTGTCACCCTGTTAGCGGATTTGTTTCCAGAGGCCGCACAGTTAATTGGCCCTTTATGTGGGGATCAGGGTGTATTTGCTCTGGGTTCCCAAAGCGGAGGCGGCAGTGTGGCCCATGGGCAAGGCGGCTTCCTAATCCCTGCCATCTGGGTTTAGAGACTGGACAAATAGGAAAGCTAGCCTCTTCTCTAAGACTCCTGGCCTCTATCTCTGGCCAGGCTTCTGCAGTCCACCTCTCTCCACACCTTTTCATCTCTCTGTTTTTCCCGATTAGCTTCCTCTGCTCTTTCCCTCTTTGTATTTGGCAGTATTTCTAGAATACTATTTCTTTTTCTCAGAAAACCTCACCCAGATCTGAAGACAAAAGAAGGTGTAAGGAGTCAAGGGAGGTGGTGGGGAGATTAAGTTACCCCAACTTAAGTTACCCCATGTCCCATCCCTCTCCTTCCTCCACCTCCCCATCCACCAGTGTGCCTGGAAGTCCTCCTTTGGCAGAAGTGGAACCCCAAGGGGAGAAGGCCCAGTGGGGTCACACCTCTAGCAATTCTGTAGCTCCCCTTTCCCTCCTTTATCACTGTGGTCTCAGGGCAGCCAAGAATCTAGTCCTACAACTGTCCAAGTCCAGCTGCTCTGTGGGCTGCTCCCAAAGGCAGTTCTGGAAAGAGCTTGCCTCTTGTTTCCTCAGCTAAGCTAAGCTTTTGCCTCTTGTGTAGCTGGGTAAGCAGCAAAACCTCCACTGTGTTTGCACTGCCTCTAGAAGGGCTTCACCAATGCTTTTGATTTAAAATATTTTACTTTTTATTTGGGGGGGCTGCTGAAGAGATAGCTTAGCAGTTAAGAGCACTGACTGCTCTTGCAAAGGACTGGGGTTTGATACCCAGGACCCACATGACAGCTAACAACCGTCCATAACTCCAATTCCAGGGGATCCAATGCCCTCTTCTGACCTCCTTGGGCATTGCTGGACATTGGTGCACTGACCTACATGCAAGCAATATACTCATACACATAAAAAATAAAAAGATTTAAAAATATTTTGCTTATTATTATTTTGTGTGTATGAGTCTTTTGCCTGCATGTTAAGTGCACCCATGTCATGAAACACCGAAAGAGTTCAGAGGAGGTCATCAGATTCCCTGGAACTGGAGTTACAGCAGCTTGTTAGTTGCCATGTGGGTGCTGAGATCTGAATCTGGGTTCTCTGCAAGATCAGCCAGTGCTCTTAATTGCTGAGCCATTCAGCTCCCCAATGCCTTTGATTTATAAACTTCAATTTTGGACTGAAGGAAGAATTGGAGCTGAATTTAAGGCACCCCCTTTCCCTCTCCTCTTCTTTTTTTTTTCTAGATTTTTTTGTTTTGTTTTGTTTCTTTTTCAGACAAGGTCTCACTATATAGCTCTGGCTGGCCTGGAACTTATTATATAGACCAAGCTGGCCTCAAACTCACAGAAATCTGCCTGCCTCTGCTTCCAGAGTGCTGGGATCAAAGGAATGTGCCACCATATCTAGCCTTTTTTTTTTCCTGTGTTTTTGAGATAGGGTCTTATGGAGCCCAGACTGGCCTCTTTGCCAAGGAGGCAAAGAACTCCTTGAACTCCTTGAACTCCTGGTCTTCCTGCTTCGCTTCAAGCTTTGGGCTTACAGGTATGTGTCATGTCCAGCTGAGGGGTTCTTTTTTTTTTTTTTTTTTTTTTTTTAAAAATTTTTTTTTTTTTTTTTTTTTTTTTTTCAAATATTCCCTCAGGGAACTTTTTTTTTTTAAAAGATTTATTTTTATTTTGTGTGTATGTGTGAATGTCTGCATGTATGTATGTGCACCATGTGTGTGCTTGGTGCCCTGGAACTGGAGTTACAAATGTGTGTGTGTTAGGAACTGAATTTGTGTCCTCTGCATGACCTAAACAGCAGGCACTCTTTACTACTGAGTCACCTTTCTAGCCTTCTTTGCAGGGTTTTACCAATAATATGCACAGCTGAATTTTAGGTGAGAAAGAGAAAAGGAGGTTTTCTAGGGGAGTTGACAGAGAAGAAAGTAACAAGAGGCACGAAGGGAGGAAGAGGCTGAATATGTCGTGTGTGTGTGAGTGTGTGTGTGTGTGTGTGTGTATGTGTGTGTGTGTTCGCAGATGGAGCCACAGGGAAGGGAAGTATTTCTTTCCAGAGTTTTATTTTGGAGACTGGGATAGGAAGTGATTATTTGTAACATACGAATCCTACATAATAGTGGTGTTTGGGGAAATTTCATGCCTCTAAAGGAACTCCCCAAATTCTACATTGTGCGTGTGTGTGTGTGTGTGTGTGTGTGTGTGTGTGTAGAGAATAGCTACCCTAGACTAACTTTTGTTGGCCTAGTGCCAGCACACAGGCCAGAGAATGTGGCTGGGAATGTTTAGTGGCCAAGCTGGGGCTGTATGGGAAGGCTTCTTGGTGGTCCAAAGCCCGAATGCCAGCTGGTAGTGCATGAAGCTGCTGGCATGTGATTGCCCAGGAGGGCAGTCTGAGGACAACCCCCCCAATCTTATACTGATTACTGCCTCTGCCTCTCCCTGATGCACACACACAATGCCCAACTCATTTACATCCCTCCAGAGCCTGCAGCCTCCCATCATCACTCTCCCTGCCTGGACCCTTTCCCAGATCACAGATACCCATTGAACATATGTGTGAATGTATGTGTTTGTGGGTGGAGAGGGATGGGACCTAACATCTGCCCCACCCCCACTAGGCTATGTTTGTGAATGCCCCAGCAGGGCTGCTAGCTTCAGAATGATAATGCCAGAGGGCAGTGACCCAGTAGGCTGGGGCTAGAGGGCTAGCAGGAGGGGGGATCAGAGAGCAAAGAGCAGAACCCAGCTGGAAGACAGACAGTGGGAGCTCCCCCTGGCAGGAGCCAGAGTTTGTTGGCTCAACCCCTGTAGCTGCTGAGATAATAAGCCAAGGCCGCATGCCCAACACTGCCCCTTTCCCCACAGGGCTCCAATGGAGGGGCCTTCAGGGACATACTTTACTATACACCCAGCCAAGTCCAGAAATCTGGAGGCAACTGAACAGAAGTGTGCACATCTCAGTACAGGTGTAACAAAGGCTAGGGAGAGTGGGGCTGTCTTTGCTGTTTTTACAAAATTGAGTAACATGTGTGTCTCTCTTCCTACCAGGCCATCCAAGTCGGATGAGGGTCTAACTTAATCCAGTACAACCTGACCTGAACTAATTATATCTTCAAAAACCTCTATTTCCAAATAAGGTTAGTATGGGGTTATATGTTTGTGTATGTGTGCAGACCTTGCACATGTTAAGCACGTGCTTTACCCCTGAGCTATATCCTTAACCCCAAGGTAGTGGATATAGGGGAGTGAGCTATTCAACTCAATATACC